ATATCGCTATGTATAAAAACACAGAGCATATTTTACACTGATTTATTGAAATTCTTCCATTCAACTTTCCATGTCTTGATTTTTGCCTTGCAGTGTCACAGAATTTATTCTGTCATGATAGCTGACTTCTGTGGAAGATAAATATTTCATACGTGAGATGCACACAGTTCCTTCAATGCCTCATATATGAAACACACACAGTTCTTGCCCTCCTTTTTTTTTTCTTCCTTTTTAAAAAAAAAAAAAAAAAAAAAGGGTTGGCAGTCCCTCTCCATCAAAAAAGGCAAAGGGCACAGAGGCAACTTCCCTCCTGATATTTTCCAGGTAGGGAAAAGTTTAAATTCCTCAGAGTCCAGCAGAGAGAGCTGTATATATACTTGACAACAAGGGAATCCCCCCTGGCTATTCTCCGCCAAGTACCAGTAGACACAGAAAACTAGGACAACTTGCTATTTTAAGTGAAAAGGCAAATGAAGAAGTATTCTCCTACTGCAAGCCCTGGGAGGTCCCCAACTCCCAACAGAAATGTCCCACCTACCCCTCAGAAGTCATCCCTTCTTGCTTCACCTCCCTTCTCATTCAAGCAATTACCAGCCAGGGTCCCTGGTCTTCTCTCCCCATGTGAAATACCAGTTCTGGAGGCTTTTTTACATGGCTGGGAATAGAGGTCACAGACAAGAACAGCAGACAGCAGGTAAGTATACAAACGCATACACCCACATCCCCATGTCCAGGAGATCCTGAATTTAGAAAGTTATCAGCAGTATTTAAGAGTCTCATAGTCCAGAGACTGCTTACTCACCCAGCCCCCTGCAGTGCTATTGCCCACGTGTTTTTTATATAGACATATCTGCACTACTGCAGGAAGGACAATTTACAGATACCCCAGGCTGGCTCAACCAAGAGAGAGCGACAAATCAGTCAGTACTATAGCTGTATCACCCCAGCCTGGGTGCAGGCAAATTTTCCCAACTCAGAAGCAGAGTTTAATTTTCGGACTCAACAACTGGACTAACAGCAGTTTAGCTCTTGAGATCCAAGCCAATTCCTGCACATAGTGCTATGCAGATGCATCTGCAGGCTCAGAACTCACAGCTGAGTCCCACTGGGTGATATAGACATAAAATCATGGGAAAAAAGGCCTGTGAGAAGACCTAAGGATGTCATCCAATCCATCTCATTCCTCTAAATGTTTGTGGGTTGTTTTTTAACTCGGAGAGAATTGCCTCTGGCACAGCAGATAATTGAACTGGTGTTTCTCAAAACTTCCTGATAAGCACACTCATCACAGGGCCAGCCTTCCTTACATGATGCAGTCTCACCCTTCACCCCTTATAATCTGATTTTGGAGTTCTGGACCTTGAAGACAACTACAGGCAGTACCAAAGGAAGGAAAAAAGGAAAGGGAAAGGGAAAGAAGGGAAAGGGAAAGGAAGGGAAGGAGAAAGGAAGGGAAGGGAAGGGAAAGGGAAAGGGAAAGGGAAGGGAAGGGAAGGAAGATATACTCGCCCTCAGATAAAGCATTTTACTAAGCACTTCCGTCAGCTTCTGACCATGATATTAAATCAAACCTGTCATTATTTCCTCATAATTAGAAGGCTCCCAGAGTGAGGAAATGGCAACAATAGGAGGTGGACTGGAGAGCGAATTCAGTACAATGCCAGCTGTGGTTACTGGCAGGCAGCATCTTTGTTCTGAGTATGTGACTCACAGGTAAATGTTCTCTCTTGCCACATACTCCTGTGACAGCCAGCAATGACAGTTACCTACACCCCCCACCCTGCCCTTTGCATCTCTCTCCACCTACTTGTCTGACAAAGTTACTCTGTACAATTAAGTCCTTAACCTAGGCATGGATCACTCTGATTTTACGTAAGTCTTGCAAAGTCATTGCTTTAGAAAAGCCTGGAAAAAAACCAGTGACACTCTTCCCCAGTTGGATACGGCATTTCAGAAGTTTTACTGCTTAGAAAAATTCTGCTTACCTCTGACTGTAGAAAATGCTAGTTTTATTGGTTTGGGAACAAGACAAGCAGGCAGATTATAAGAGGTCAATGATGCAATTACAATATTAAGAGATATCACGTGACAATCCCTATGCTTCCTTTAGGCTTACTTGCTCAGATTGTAACACAGTGTTGTTTTCTCATACTCTTCTCATTCTGTTTATCCTTTAACAAACTCTAACCTAACTGCTGATGTTAATAAATGCCCACATTTATTAATGCAGGACTTCATGTTATATGGTTAGTTACATTACCTTCCTGTCACTCAGGTGACAAAAGTGACCTACCTTGATTCATCTGAAGAGTGAAGCAGGGTCAAGACAACATTATTCCAGTTTCCTAGCTCTTAAACCCTGACTTCTAACCACTGCCCCATTTTTTTTCCTTTGGAATGCTATTGTTTAGCCCACTAACTCTGTAAACCTTTCATTCTAGAAACAAAAATCAGGATCCCACCATCCTTCCCTTCACTTTCTAGTCTATTCCAATGTGTAGTTTACAGATACTGCCATATTCGTGTAGGTAGAAGATGATCGCTGTGGCACCAGTAGAAGAGAGACTGTTGCCAAATCCTTCAGATGCTTCTCAGGAAAGAATAAACAATGCCGCCTGTGTGGCTCGTTTTCCTCTTCTGATCAGAGTATTGCATTGTATACTACTGTCACCCAGGTAAGCAATCGCCGTCCACAAGACCCGCTGCCCACTCAGTCCTGCCACCTAAATGCAGCAGCACACCACCTCTCCCAGGAAGACCCCATCATGAAGAAGAGCCTGGAGGAGAGAAGGCTCTGGGGAGACCTTATAGCAGCCTTCCAGTACTTAAAGGGGGCCT